GGCTCAGAAGATTGTTAACGGAGATTGGCTTTGCTCCTAACTCCGAGATGAATTTGTTCTATGACAATAAGGTAGCAATTAATATCTCCCATAACTCCGTACAACATGATCGGACGAAGCATGTGGAAGTAAATCGACATTTCATCAAACAAAACCTCGATACAAAGATCATCCGGTTTCCTTTTGTGAAGTCTGAAGACCAACTAGCAGATATTCTTACGAACGCAATATGCAGTAAAATATTTTACAACTCACTAGACAAGTTGGGACTCATTGACATATACGTACCAACTTGAGGAGGAGTGTTGGCGTGAGTTGTCCTTGAAGGAAGGATCACATGCAAGAATCATGCAATGCAATCCCTCAATTATAGGTCAACGTCGGATCCACAATTGTAACCTCAATATTTGCAGTCCCTGTATAGGCTAATTTTTTCTATATAAATGCACCAATATTGTAAGAATATAGATGAATATACATACAAGTTTATTTCATTCTAACAATCTAGAGATTTAGATGAAACACAAGAACGATCAAATGAAATTTAATTCTTTGCGAGGTCATGCCATAGAATTAAACTTGACACGTGGTCTGTTCAATACATTTTTAATGTACTAGTATTACCATTAAACTATTTCTGCGACACAGAGAGAAGAAAGATAAGCATAGGCTAGGCCTAGAACCTACAATGTAAAATGACAAGGACAAATCGGAAATGCAAATAGTGAAATAATCAATATTACAACCTTTTATACAAGGTGTCAAACTTCATACATTAGTTGTAAATAGTTTTATTTGTGATCAAACTATAAATTTTGTACACTGAAAAATAAATCCTCTACAATATCATGAGCCTCATTCAAAAAGTACAAAGAGCGTCCTTTTACAACGTGTAACACGGAACAAAAAATGTCGATGGCCAATTATTATATAAAACAAACACGAGCACAAAATTCCCTACGAACATAATCGAACAGTAGAAACTACTGCTATCTCGAAAGCTAGACAAACTCATCTATTTATCTAATATAAGCATGCTAGCCTTTGCTTTTATACACTTGATTTGCAGCAATATTGCGAGAACCAGCATCTAAAATTGACATGAGAACTGGACGAAGATTTTACTCAATTCTTCTATTCTTTATTGCTGCAATTTCTTCTTAATGTATCAACTGAATCTTTTTCTTGTAACAGGATGTTGCTTTTGAAGATCAGTAGACGACTCTTGGTAAAACATTTTGGCCAAACCATGACATCACATATCTGAGTCTTCCACTTCTGTGTTCAGCACGAAACTAGGAAATGCTAATGTTATATCCCTGGAAAAGCCAATGCAATATGCTTAGACCTTTTTTTATTTTGGACTTAAGCCTTAATCCCTTCATAAGGGACTAAGGAAGCAATAATAAATAGAAAGAAATATGAAAACAAGCAAAGCATGCACATATTCATAATGGTTTACCCTTAATGTGAGAGTCTCATCTATTGTGACAGGCTTCACTGAAGAAGAAATACAAGGTTTCTGAAGCCTCTAGCTAAAAAATGGCCCAGAAAAGAAGCCCCTTTAAATAATATGATTATTTGGGTGACCTAATATGTGCACTGTCTAATACTCTGGTACATCATTTACTAGCTCAAACATCCTACTCATAAGATCCATACCTACGCCAGTTTGGGTCATGGAAAAGTTTCCTACCACTTGAATGGTAAATATAAAAAAGAGAAGAAAATTGGCTTCCGAAATGCAAATGAAACGATAGTAAACAAAAAAGGTTTGCACGAGACACTAAAATGATTCGGCGAGTAAACTTAAAATTTCTGGTTTGACGTGGCGCCATTTCAAGTGAGCTGAGTAATATGAGATGCACTTAGTGTCACACTTACTTTAGATATGGAAGAGTCATATTCTTTATAAGAGATGGATTTTTTGATACAAATTCTTTCCATTCATCTAGATCAATCCTTCCATCACCTTTTGTATCAGCATCACTGAATGTCTGAAGAAAATAAGTGGAAAATAATACAACATTTTGAAACGAAGATGGGAATGGTAAAGAGCCGAAGAAAAGTTTTGTCATTTTCACCTTGTCAACAATCATTTCAACCACATCATCTGAAAGTGCCAGATCAGATTCGTTCAACAGTGCCAATACCATCTCGTACAACTGTCAAGTAACATGAGAGATTAAAAACATTAATCAAAGTTGAATTGATAAGGCTAAAATATCAACTTGAGAATTATAGATTAATTAGAGCTATAAAAATGAAAACACGACATCTTTTACTTCAAATCCAGCATCAATGAATTTTGAAATCATATCAGATTTGAAAAAGTAGGGGACAAAAATAAGCAAGTTCAGAGGACTAGGCACTTACCTCTTCTCTCTCAATATAACCAGTGTGCCTTAGATCATACAATCTAAACGCAACTGCGTGAAGAATACCTTTGGTTAGAGATGAGAAAAACGGAAGCCATAGCTATATGAGTAGCAACATATTTCATAATAAATTATTTCTTACATGTAACTTTGTCGGCCGTTGGTGCATTAGGGTGAAACACACCTAATGATCGAACGAATTCTCCAAATTCAATCACTCCATTACGTTTGTAATCAAACAAATCAAATATCTACATAAATGTCGAAGATTCATAAGTAAAATTCTTGTTCGAACTTAGCAGAATTCCAGTGGAGATATTCACGTACAGATGCATGCATTAGAAAAAAGGAATGTGCAGGAGAAGGGAGTCGTAATAACTTACCCTGTCTGCAAACAGATTTCTCCTGTTTCTGTTTCTAAAGAGTGCTAGCTGGAACTCTTCCTGATCAAGAGATCACAAGAAAGTTACTACATATTAATTGGGACTCATCCTGAACTCGTTCCACTAATTGTTAAAAATTCAAACAATTAGGCATGGAAATTTTTGACAAAAGAAAATTGTAATATTACCTTGTGAATGAGACCATCATCGATTATTGAGCTGCTAATTTTCTTAAATAGTTCATACAATGCCTCAACTTCACTTACTGTGACTGCAAGACAATGTTTTCAATGAAACCACATTAGCCATTCCTTAGCTAGGATCGAAATAACGGCTGTAATGAATGAAGAAGCATGATGCAATCTAAGCAGAGTGAGAGTAGATCGCATGTTTTAGCATAATCAACTAGCCAAATCATATTTCAATGTGACAATAACTGGTTGTTCATTATTTCAGGCCATTAAATTTTTTAATGTTTCAATAACTAAATCATATATTGATCACATTAACCCCTCCTCCGTTATTACCAATTAAAAACGAATTTGTTTTTTCGATCCTCTCATCCTCATAATCATATGGTACCGTGTTCAAGTCGACTGAAAATATTACCAACATTAATGTTGGAAATGAAGTTAATCAATTTTCAAAGCCTAAACCTATAGTATCTCCAGCACTCATATCCTTAGCCTTGAGATAAGAAGAAACAGATACAAGGATACATCATCATTATGTACTTGGCTTAAAATAAGTATCAAGCAGCTAAAAGTTATCAACACATATTCAGAAATTGACAAAATGAGAAACGAAGTATTTTACATGAAGCACATAAAACAATTAGAAAAGAAATATTTTACATGAACAATTAGGAAAGAAGTATTTTACATGAACAAAAAAAAAATTGTATTATTTTTGAATACTCACAAGGTGTCTCGGATGCAAGAATAGTAGGGTCCTCGTAACCTGGGATTTGTCGTAGGTGTTTAGAATGAAAGCAGCCCATCAAAGCAGGTAGAGCAACAGATTTCTTAACAATAATAAGTTGGAGCTAATGGAAGTTTTTCCAACACTGTGTTTGTCAAAATGAAGACTTTTCTTGAGACGGCTTATACTATGATGGCATATCTGCATTCAACGTACCACAAGATAATTGAATTGATCGATATTCAAATAACAAAAATATCATGATAATCTACTCTATGAATATACCTTTCAAATGAATAGAACAATCAAAACTTTCACCAACATGCCCAGCGTTAACATGATTTGATATTAGGATTTAATATGAATGCACACAAATAATCAAAGCACGGAGACATACAAATTGAGGGAACCACTTCAATCGCCTCCAGGGACCAGGCATAAAGATATCCCGACAGATGAAGAAAGGGTGGGCTTGTTTTGGCAGGACAATTTTTTTAACATAGATCAACTTCCTCGAAAATAGATGAGCTTCTTTAATACACAGGATATTCAAAGGGAAAAATAGACCATTTTTTTTCCCCACATAGATCAACTTGTTTCTGGGACCAAACTATTAACAAGTCACATTCTAATCCTCATAATACACATGATATTCAAAGGGAAAAATACAAGAGCCTGCTAGTGCTGGACTTCTTTATGTTTGTCGAAAGGGACATAATCGACTAATTATAAATTAATCACACTGCAACAAAAAGATGATGCGTAAGCATTTCTAACCAAGACAGTTGTGCTGGGAAAGTGATTGCAAGATCAACAACGAAATATTATTAAGTAAAAACATTTACAGATGAACATCATTGGAGCAGAATTAACTAAATTCAATTAACAAGCCAACTGTCTCGAGGCACCATCAGGTGCGCCCTGGATCGTCCTCGCTTCTGCTTCACCTTTACACCAACCCCTAAAGCCCAGTTAGGTCCGACAAATTGAAATTCAGGAAATCTAGTATCCAATAAATGAAATACTGAGCATTCTGAGACAAATAACAGATCAAACTAACATAGTCTTGATTGTGACCCCACGTTCGAAAGAATTTTTTTTGAAGAAAAAAACAAGAAATATGATGTTCTAATGAGGAGACACCTCTCAAGAGAGTCATCCGTCTCTCGTCTTTAGGTACTCTTCTACCTCCCCCGGCATCGAATTCGAGTACAGACAAGAAAATAGAAAAACAATAACAAAAAATGCACATTCAGTGATATAAAAATCTGAAAGATGTATGCATGTTAGAAATTTGATGGAGAAAGAAAGAGAGAGAGAGAGAAACCGACCCTTGGGCCACAGGATCTTTTCGACTTTGGGATTTCACTTTTGGAGACTGGAGTATCGTCATATCTCCCTCTACCCCAATCGCCCACCCCGCCCACCCCGCGCAGTATTAAAGTCAAGTTTCTCTATCTGCTTGCTAATTTGTAGCAATACACATGAAATCTTTTATTACTTAGTAAATTAAGTACAAGTATATTAATATCGTGGCCTTAATAATGTTTTTTGTCCAGTAATTTTGTTGACGTGGTTTAAAATGAGAACAAATATTAAATTGGAATTTGTATTTACATTTGCGTTGGTTTCTTTATGTTTTAGGAATAATTGCAATAAAAGTTTCAAATTTTTAAAAAGAGACAACAGAGTAACTTTTCATTTATCACATTAAATAATTAAATTAAAAAAAAGCACACACATACGCACAATTGTCTTCTTCCTCTCATCCCACCTCCACGTCCACCTCCACCTCAGACCCAAAATTCACACCAAGCTTATCCTTTGCAATCTAAACTACCCTAAAATGTTTGTCTTGGGATTAATGTAGCAACTTGCAACCACAAAATTTAAGCACGTACGTTCACGTATGAATTACATTACCAAATGAAATTTACAAAGATACCTAGATATTATGATTGGTATTGAAGACTTTTAAAAAGTTATTTCAAGAATTGAAAATTCTAGATGCTCATAAATTTAAAGTAATTAGAATTATGAAGCATCACTAAATGTTAGCATAAATGTAAGGTGACCTAAACATAAAAATCTATCTAACGTGTTAAATATACGATGACTTCGAGATTTATGGCCTTTCTATCTAACATAACTACGCTAGTTCACAATCAAGAGTCAAGACTCTATTTAAAACATAATTATTTTTTTTTAATAATTATTAACATTGTATCAGGAAAATTATTTGCGTTCCTTTACCGCCTGATGCTACCAAAAATCATACCTGTAGATTTCCCGAGCTTGATGACGGATGAGGAACACGAACGTGATCTTCCGATACCTGAAACAAAGGCAACGAGGTGTGTGCTCGTCGCCCCTCCGATGCTTAAGTCAGAAAGGGAAGTATATGCGTGAGGCTATGTGCTGAAGAACAATGAAAAACGTACCTGAATAATGGCTCAATGTCCTGTATTTATAGGGGTAGGTAGTGTGTTCATATTAGGATTCCGTATTGCACCTGTAGTAGGATAGCTTGATTTTGCAATTTTATACCAATGAATCCTACGCGAGATAGGAGTTTGAATTGAGGTATAACTGTGATACCAATAGAGTTCTTCTGAGTATAGGAGACATAAATTAAGGATATTTAGTCAGAATAAATCTCTCGTTGGACAAGGCGCTGTCGTAGGTCATAATCCCGAGGACATGTCGAATGATTGTTTAATAAATCTTCGGGCTAATAGCCCGGGCATATATGATACCCGAGCACATATGTCCCGAGCATTTTGATACACATACCGACGAAATTGAGTCCTCGGTCTATATACGTCGGGAACAAACTTGGTTATATCACCGCCCATTCGCCTACCACTACGATAAGTCCAACCGAACATTTATTATTATTAAAATTTCATTTAAAAAAGTTGTCGCATTGCACGTGCATTTATGTTTGGTCAACTCTGTATATCTATCTGCTAAATTGCTAATAAGTGCACGATAAACCAAAGCCGACCACGACTTGTTTAGATTTAATCTATTTTTATTTTTTCAAATTTCACTTTCTCTTTCGTAAATTACCTTGTCAATGCAATTGACATACCCGATGGAATTGCTACTATTTATATACCTATTCCCATGGCACGAAGCCAGAAATTGTCCACTGTAGACAAAATTTAATCAAGATTGAACTTTTCGATTATGAATTTAACGATATTATGATAATGCTAAAAATGACATAGTGACAACACTAATAATATAATCATCTTCTTCCTTATTCCAAGATCTATAGAAAGTTGTGCGATATCAAAATCAATTTTATTCGATATCTCCTCATCAACATTTTTTACTAAATATTTCTTTTTAAATAATCTCTCCATTGGCGCTTCAGACTAAAATAAATCACATGTGACAATTAAATACTTATTGATAAGAAAATAACTACTAATTTTTACAAATTGGTAGAATAAAAGAAAATCATTACCAATTGTTTAACTATTTGACAGAAGTCAAGATTTCAAGAATCATTCACAAATATTATCAATACTCAACATTTATATAATCAAAATTACTAATATTAAACAGAAAAACCTCCAATATTAAACAGAAAAATCACATGATCAAGAAGATTTTTGCTTCAATTTGAGGACCCAAGAAAATGTGGGTTTTAGGAAAGAAACGAAAAAAAAAAAAAGTATTTCAAAACGAGGGGAGATTAAAGAAATTTTTTAATTTCTTGCCGTAGGGAAAGAGTCAAAAAATGTTATTGTGCACTTGAAGATTATGGTAAATTAGTGTATGGGCTGGACTATAAATGAATGAAAAATTCAATACTTAAAGAAGAAGGGGGAGGAAAAAACGAAAAAAAGAAAAAAAATGAGAGAGGGAGTGATAAATATTGGATTGAGTTTGGGCTTGGGCCAATCCGCCCATGCCTATTCCATTTCTCAAGGTATACTGTACATTCCGAAGCATAGAAAGGAAGGTAGTGCAATCGGAGATAATAGTTAGATCATATATGTTCTTTTAGTCAAATACTTTAAAGAGAGTTGAGATCAGTTATCTTCTAATACGTTTTCCACACCTTGATTTGTCGTCTCCTCCTAGTAAATTGGAAGGTGTTGAAGTATCAAAAATGTGTCGTCATCTTTCCATTTATCAAGAAGAGGATTGGGGAGGAAACTGACTATTAAAACATGATGTTAGGCAAAAGATGGTCAAGACTCGATGTTAGGCCTCTAAAAATTTAGCCTGTAAGTGGAAAGACAAGTTGAATATAATATTTAAATGAATGTATGTATTCCATCTCTAACAGTTTAAAATTTTAGACAATATTTTGAAAATTGGACTGGACCAATCGGAAAAATCGGGAATTAGTCTCATATTTGGTACGTCAAGTCATAACATATTAACCGGAAATGAAAAAAAAAATCGATAATTAACCCATTGAATAGGCCATTTTAATCAAAAATCGGAAAATCTATCACCATTTTTACAAGTTAATGAGGGGTTTTTTTTTCCAAAAAAAAAAAAAATCTTGATAAAGGGGTTCAAGCATTGGTAAGTTCAATTTTACCTTCCTTTCAATCCAAGTGTTACTTTTAAAAGAGGAGTCATATAAAGTTTTCCTCAAATTTCAATGTGGGATAAGTTGTGTAATTTTTTGCAATTTATATATTTAATTATTGTTCACTTCTTTCTATTAAATAAATTTTGGCCTCCCAAAGCACTTCCATCTTTCTATTTGAATTTTAACAAAGCAAGTTATTTTAAACACATTAATTTTTAGTTTTTGATGTTTTAAAATAAAATATAGGATAACAAATCTAATTGACAAATGTAGATTTATATTTACTTTGAATTAGTAATACTAAAATTAAAAAAAAAAAATGTTGTTGTTATAATATTTTATAGTTTGTTGGAGTATTTATTTATTTAATTTTGATATCCGGTTCGACCTTGAGTCAACCCGAGTTCGGCCATTTGACCCTTGACTATATTTCTTTTTCGAATCGATTTTTATAACATTGCTTTTTGAGGAGATAGTTATCATGACTAGAATGGGGAGATGATGATATGCTTTTATGTGGGCGAGATTATTTAAAAACTAAAGTAAAAAAATAATATGGACAAGGTGAAAAATGAGTTTGAAAATTTTATATAAGACAAATCTGCCACTTGCATTATATAGTCCTCGTTTGATTTTCATTTTTCTAAAATCTCATTTTTTTAAAATTTATTTTCAACCACACATTCTTTAATAAAATAATATTATACGTAAATTTAATTTTTTTTTGAATTTTTAACCATACATTCTCCATCAATCTACTATTCAAAATGCATTATTTTCCCCAAAATGGGGATCAAACAAGGGCATAGTAATTTTTAGTTCAACTAACACGCGAATATGCAATTGAAATTTTAAATTCTTATTAGAAAATCATAAATTTATAGCCCATTCAACAAATTTTCAATTTATATTATTTGATTTGTAATTTTTTTTTTTCATTTAACATTGACGACGATGATATTGTTTAATTAGAAAAAATAAAATAAAATAAAATTTGTCGGCCAACTATGTAACCAAGCATATATATAGTATACGACTGTGAATAAAAAATAGAAAGTTGCAAATATTTTTGAATGGACAAAGACTTGATTGAGATGTGTTGACATAAATAGCGTGAAAATGACAACGCATGCCAGCAATTCCACTCTTCTAAAAATTAGATTAGATAAAGGAGTGTTTTCTGAAATAAAATAATCAAAAATAAATTAACTATGTAGTATGTACTCCCACGCAATTAATACAAATAGCATGTCTAAATTCCAAGTCAAACAAAATATTTCGTATCATAAAATTTTAAATTATCACCTAAAGACGGCTTGAGCGAAGGATATATACAAGCAAGATAAGTCGTTTCAATTGACGTTGGCAATTGAATTATTACTACTTTTCTACGTTGACTATTTCATTTTTCAAGATGTACAATCACGAATATCTCTTGTTGAGCATGATTGTACGAGTGATAGCGGAATATCAATAAACTCAATTAAAAATAGTTTAATTGAAGATAACGTTTAAATAAATAAATATTTTTAATCTAACAGCTATTTTTTTTAGAGAAGAAGTTAACATAGAATCAAGATTTGTTGTCTCGATATTGATCTTCGAATACATTTTTAATACTCCTAAAGATAATATCTTAGAAAATCGGGTTAATTTCACAAATGATCACTGAACTTACAGAAAAATTACAAAACGATCATTGAAGTTACAAACTTTCAATAACGGTCACTTAAGTATTGGGACGCTTTCAAAAATGG